ATCTTGCTCTGAAACTTATTAGTGTTCATTTTGTGACTTGAATGCTTATTTTCAGATTTTTTGGCTTTGATTTCCAAGCAGAATAGGGTGGACTCAGTCCTACTCTACAATCCTGTCACTTACAGTATTTAGGCCGCAATTTTAGTGCCTTTTTCTTGTTTTTACCATCATATAAGTAAAGCTTTTATTGAAGAAAACGAAATCGATACAAGCAACCATTAGAGACGGATCAGCAATGTGGCAACATTGTTTTCTCTCCTATTAAATCTGTGTTGAGTAATCGATTCTCATCGGAGTGCCTGGTCCCTCTTAGAGTCCCTTTATACCCAGAGTTAAGACAACTCGATTATTAGCTGACTAGCAGCTGGCCTCGGCTGGCCATGGAGGCACAAACGAGTGCACCCAAATGTACCTACGATATTGAGGGATAAGGATAAGGACTCTTGCAATGTCTGTCATCCAAAAACAACAACATTAACAAAATTGATCAATTAAAAAGAAAATGAGATTGGTTTGTGAATAATTTCTTAATCTATTCATTTTGGACCGATGGAAATAACAATTTACTCTTGATAAACCACAATTAGGTAATATTTTCATTATTTTTGTTCACATTCGAGTCACCGCCATCTTGGTGCACTCGTTTGTGACTCCATGAGCGAGAACCAATCAGAATAGGAATTTTTTTAGGCCACTTTCAGCTCAGCCAAAAGTGAGTTGTCGTAACTCTGAGTATAAAGGGACTCTAGTCCCTCTGAGCATTAATTCAATTCCATAAATTTAAATGGAGAGAAAACATTGTTGCCAACCTCCTGAATCAACCAATGGTAAACATGTATAATTTCCGTAAAAATTTAAGGACAAGGTACTCATGTCACAAGTTTGTGATTTTACAGGTATGCATCTCCCGAACTGTGTTTACATCAAGTTGAGTTTTTCGTCAAAAAAATTCTAATTTGGCCCTCTGAGAAGAAAAACCAACCAGAGTGGATCTACTTCACCTGTCTGGCATCAAGATTGTTCTCTTTCCTGTCAAATCATCATAAAGAGAAGATTATCAAAAACCATCCTCTCTCGGCTGAGAATTTTTGCATCTGGAGTGCTTTGAGAATTCATCCGCCAGAAGGAGGACAGCAGAAATCGGCAGAATGGCTCATTCGAGGAACGTTGATTGATTTTCTCATCTCAGAAAAGAAAACCAAACTCACAAACATGGTAGGTAGTGGAAAATGTATTGTTTATTTTTCTTTCACTTTGCAGAAAGTCTTCGACTTTGGGAAATAGGAAGCACCAAAAAATCAAAGCAAAAAAATCTTTATTAAACTTTCTGGGAACAGGGCTTTCTAGGGTTTTTATGAATAAGACGGAATTTTGTTGTTGCTAACATGGGCAGAAATAAAGTCAGTTGGTGCAATTAGTGCAATTAGTGCATTGTTGATAGTATTTTTGAAGCTCTCAACGATATAGAGAGGAGGTGAAGTAAAAAGAACATGATCTCTAAATAGCTGCCTACAAGAATAAGCTTGCTGGAAAAACCAGAAAACAAATTTTAATCATTTGGCACGTATGCATACCTATTGAAATATTCTTACCTGATATCTGAACTCAACACAATGTTTTCATTTCAGATAGCTGCTTTAGATATTGCGTGTGCTCTTGACTTTGACGCAGCACCAAGACAAGGGGAGCACTTCATTAAACTAACGCTTCAGCTATGGAACTGTTTCTCAAACGTAGATTCGATTTTAAGCTCAGAAGAAAGTAGCTGTGGAGAGAAACTATGGTTCAATAATTTCTTGAATGCTCTCTGCCGAGTCACTGTTCATCTTTTCAGCAAATTTGACAATAGTCAAATTTTTAATGTATGTATTTCATTTTTTCTTTTAAATTTTTCTATTGGATAGAAGTAACAGCAATATTCTGCTCTTCTGTGTCAGTCTGAATGATTATTTTATTTTGACATGGTCTCAAGTGACTCTACATGCAGATTTTTATCACAATCTCTGCTTTAGTCAGTCACCGTATTATTTTGAATCAATTAATATTGAAACTGAAGCTTATCAGCCCCCCTCCTGTCTGCCTACTCATTCTTCTCACTCCTAGGAAGAAGTGAAGAAAAATTGTTTTGCCTGTTTTTCAATGAAAAGTCAAGCAAGAAAACAGCATGCGTTGGGAAATAGTGTTATAGGGAAATTCACTTAGAGCATTACAAGCGAGATTCTTTAAAATGTGAATTTGCTTCGTTATCATGCTGACAAGGAGAGGTCACATAGTGTCCTCCCTAGATTTTGATTGGAGTGTGGGCTAAAGTTTCTATGTATCAAACTATTGAACTCCTGTTTTGCCATTTTTGTAAATTGGCTCTGGAAGATCCAAAAAATATTTCAAAAAAATTGTCAAAGGAGGTTGCTTGCTGAAGTGACAAAATAAGGCTCCTCACATTTCAGTTCAAACGTTGTGTGGTGACTAAAAGTGCTATGCTTTGACAGAGAGGACTGAAGTTTATATTGTGGCAATCTGTCCCAATATTTAATCATCTCTGTGGTTTTTTTTTACTTTCTTTTAACTGCAAACATGACTATACTTTTTAGAATTTTTATATAGTACCATTTCTTGTATTGATAATTATTATTGATTTAATAGTGCTGCAGCAAAAAAAAATAAATGAAAAAAAGTCGTAAAAAAAACACAGTAGACCAGTAGTGAACCTTTATCAATTAACCATCTTGCTGCTTCAGTCAATGACAGTGCTCACAAACTGAACTAGCTAGTGAGTAATGGACCACTAGGCAAGGTACGAATTTAAGCATTCTAATACATGTTTCCGAACCAGAATTTCACGCGGAACACGATTTGTGCAACGAAAATTACTGAAATCAACTCCTAAGGAAGATATTAACGTTTTTATTTCACATTGGTTATGAGGAATTTGAAAGGCCCGCTCACAAGAAACTCAAAGCTCTACGTAAGTCAAATCGCGCACCACAACGGTTTCAGCGAGCCTCTCAATCGAGCAAACGTTCATTTCCCACCATGTGTTGTTCAAACTATAAGCAATTTGCTTTAACTGAGCCAAAGCGTCAAGATTGAGGTTGCCAGATTTTTATATCACAGAGACTGTCTTGATGACGTTTAGCGCGCGATGTGAATCACGTATAGCATTGAGTTTTCATGAGCGGGTGGTTTGAATTCACGCATCAAGAATCATTTAATTTCTTCGTAAGGAGTTAATTTCGGTAGTTTTTGTTGTGCGCATCGTGTTCTACGTGAAATTTCGGTTAAGAAACCTGTATCAGAATGCTGAAATTCGTACCTTGTCTAGTGGTCCATTGTGTTGTTGAAGAGAGAAAAATAAAAATCTGGAGATAAGTCCTATTTTGAATGCTTGAAAAGCTAAGTAGTACTTATTTGACTAAGGTTAATCAACAGGAGAAAAATAGGATAGTCACATACGCAGTTGGAAGAGAGTAAGAAAAACTCGAGCGAAGCAATCTTAGAAATGATCAAATATTTTGGTGGATGAACAAGATGCAAATGCCAGACCTCACAATCTTGGGCAGAGCTCTAGCTACTACAATACTTCAGCACTGAAATATAAGGAGCATTATTTTAATAATTCAGCTAGTGATCCTCTCTCCACATTTCTTTACCCTTTTAGTCATGCTTAAGTAAAAACTTTTAACGATTGTGAAAAATGAAAACGAAGGCTTCTATGCCCAATTGCTGTTTTGTGAATTTGCAAAATTCAATCATAATATTCTCATTTCTCAGATCTTAATGAGAGGCTTGATACCTCATTTGGACGCAAGTAAGCAGACTGAATCCATCCTCGAAAAAGAAATTAAAAAAGAAAAATAATATTGACCAAAATACTTTATTAGGATATGTATTGTCTTTAAAAATCATTTTTGAGAGTATTTCTGTTCAGTTTAATGATCCTCTGAGTAGTGCTATTGGTTTCTGAGAAGATTGAGATGTTTTCTTTTTGCTGGATTTTTTTGTTTTTAAGCCCCTGGAAGCAAAAATTTTGAAAAATTACAACTTTCATAAGAAGAGCTGAGAACTGAGCCTAGCTCTAAAATTAAAATTAGAAATCGCCTCTTTTTATGCAGATTTTTGATAGTAAAATTGTTTAAAGTCACGGAGTTTTTTTTTTTTTTTTTTTTTTTTTTTTTTTTTTTTTTTGCTGAAGTCTACAGAAGCTTCCGTTAAATGATTGCTTCTAACAACCCTCTGATTAACAAGCTTGAGAGGACGAAAAATAGAGGTCTTTTTATAGTTTTAAATTGTTTAATTTTTTATTTGAATAATGTATGCTTTGGTTTAAAAAGAAGTTTGTTCAATTTTTTTTCCAGATTTTGTTGAAGTTAAAGGATTTGTGTTCAAAAGGCAATTCTTTTCCCAAGATGTGCACTTTGATCATTCTGACTGCATTAAGTGATAAAATTCTTGAAGAGGATGATAGAAAAAATCAAATCATCAGAACCACAACGGAATTGTTTCAGGCTTTGCTCTGTGACTCAAATCCTACCGTGCGTCAAAAAAGTTACGAGACATTTGAATATTTCTCCATCATTACTAGGTATGGCGAAGTGATATCGTTGACTGCTGGCAAAAATCCAAACTTAAAAGAATGCATCAAGAGATATCTGAACCACTCTCCTGGAAAGTTTCTCAATCCTTTGGATGAAAGTGAATACTTGGAAAAATTACATAAAATAAAGTATTCTCACAAATGCTCAGTGCCCATAGACCCTACAACCCTTAAGCCTATCTGCATCCTTAAGAACGAGGCTCAGTCGTGTGAAGAGGTGCCATTGAAGAAAATTAAACTTGACTGTAAATCAGAAATAGATACTTGTATTAATGCTATCAAAACTAACGGTTCTTCTCTTCTTCAGTTAACGGTCCAGAGCATTAGTCAAGTCAGCGAGGACCAAAAGAGACAGTTAACTTCTGTCCTGAGGGCTCTAACCGAGCGATTTCAATGAACGGCTGAACGGCTAATTGGTCATTGAACTTGAATCGGAATTTAACACTTTTCTATTTATTATCTGCTGTGATCTTATTTCTATAAGTGTTTGTAAACGACTGAACGGCTAATTGGTCATTGAACTTTAATCGTAGTTTAACTCTTTTCTCTTTGTTTTTTGCTGTGATCTTATTTCTATAAGTGTTTGTTGTTTAAAATATCTTTACTTTTTATTCTTGTGGCTGTTTGTGTTGCGTAGTTGCAATTGCATTTTAGTCTGTGGTATGAACACCGTTTAAACTTTTAACTCTGTTTTAACAGTCACTAATTTATTTTATTTTTTTCTACTACTACTATTCCTCCGGAGTACCACTACTACTACTACTACTCTGGCAAATCGCATTTCCTCATTTTGTGCTATTTAAAAAAAAAAAGGAAATTTTTGGCTGCATAATCTTTTCTGACTAAAGAATTATCTCTCCTTATTTTGAGCAAGAATCATGAAGAAAATGAATGCAATTTGTTCCCTTGTTTTATTTTATTTCTAATTTTCCCCCCCAGAGTAGTTTTTTTTTATTAAATTGCCTGTTTTTTTAAGAATGGACTCGAAAGCTACCTATTCCTCAGTTTTTTATGCAATGCTTCCAATTCTCTGAATTTCTTCTCCCTCCAATTTGGAATAAAAAACCAAATAAAATTGTTTTTAAAATATAACAAATACCTATTCATTCTATTCAGAATCAAAATTTTCAACACTTATGTTGTAAAAGAAAACCACACCAAAATCCTTTGTTCTCCTCTCTTGTTAGCATTAATATGATAAGTTAACATGTATCCTGTCCTGGTTTTATGGAATTTACAAGTTATCTTTCCGCAGTAATCCAGCTGTTCATTTTACATTTTTTAGAACTGAAATTATAATTATAGGAGATATCCAATCAATAAAAAAATGTGGAATAGATGTCAAGTAGGTGACTCATGCATTATGATGTAGCGCTAAGTACATATTTGCTACGCACGCTATGTACGTATCGCCAAGTGATATTTCTGCACAGTAGAGGTACCCATTCCTCGCTGTCTTCAACCTAGGTACTTGTCAAGAACCGTGTATTTGAGAAATTTTAAAGAATTGGTTCTGTTTTATATCTTGAATAAAATAAGTTTCATAAAAATATTTTTGGTTAAGCTTCTCAATCTCGTACCGTTCATCGAAAATACTTCCAAGGATGCGATTTAATGTGCTTGGAGGACAATGAGAGCATAGTTTGTGTAGTTTTAGCTACTTTGAGAAATGTGTTTGAAGTTTTGAAATTACATGGATCTTTATGGCGGAAAGAAAGTTCGAACTGACTTTTTGATGCTTAAAAATTGGAATTCGGAAGCAAATTTTTTACAGATTATGTGTGAAGACTAGTTTTACTTGAAATCATTAATATTTCAATTTTTTCAATAACTGCTCTTATGCGCCTTGTCCTCCACACCCCTCATTTGACTTCACTTTACAACCTATCCATCTAAGACGGATATATCCAGTGTCCACGTAAATTCTCTTTTAGAAGTCATTTCTTCTTTCTTGTAGCCTTTTAGAAGCATTTCTTGACGATTTGATTTTTCTTCACTAAATTATGACTCTTGGTCCTCTCATGAATTTAATGTATAGGCAGTGAAACTGCAGGCATGCATTCATACAGGGGGAAAATGGAAGTTTTAAAAAAAAGTAAAGTTGAGTATTTTTCTATTTAAAAAATAAAGTATGATGTACAGGAAGTCTGAGGTACTTGTTTCTGCAGTTTCAGTTTTAACGCTTTAAGGAATATCTGATCATTGAGGATGCTTCCTTGAACATTGAAGCTCTTCCCACCACACAGCAAGGGAAGACTACTGAGGTTGAGGGTGGTTAATGTGAATCACTAAATACAAAAAGGGCACATGTCCAGAAAACAACATCAGGAGACACAAAAAACTGTTTATTTGGTGGTAGATATTTTTTTAAACATAAAGACTTTCCAAAAAATATCTACCGCGAAATAAACAGTTTTTTGTGTCTCCTGAACAATTTGGTTTTCTGGACATGTGCCCTTTTTGTATTTAGTGATTCATGTAGACCCCTTGAGAATTTGTAATCAGTTAAAGCCGCATACCTAAGAGATTCTAAATCCTTGCAAAGCCTCAATCAAAACTTTGGACTCTCCTCACCCTCCTTACACAGGGATCAGTTACCTTAGTAGGTAGCACAATAAGAGGTATTAACGAAACTAAATATTGTATTAAACATTGTAAAAAAAAATATGTTGTAAAATAGACGAAAAACAAAATGCCTACCTACACTTAGCATTTTACAAGAAAGATTTTTAAAAAGAACAAATTACCTACCTCACCTCTTATGCCTCTTTGAAAACAAATTTTGTACGTCCTCACAAGGTTTTCTATGTGCAACTATCAAACTCGTAAAAAGCTGGTAGGAAGTACGATTTTTACATTTTTTTCTCCGAAAATTTTCCATTCCGACTATCTCTCCTAATTATAGCTGAGACAGGATCATTCCTTATTTCTGAGTTACTTCTCTTGGGGGCCAATTGTTTTCTAAAATGTTCTAAAGTATGCTAACATGTTTTTCGTAAATTAAAGAAGCGGAAATCGGACGGGTCGGAAGACGGGCGTCAAGGTTGCCTGAAGTATTGGAAAAATATGCAGTCTTTTATCTTTTTTCGGAAAGTTCATATTGACAACACTGGAATTTTGTATTAAAGACACGGACGGCCAACCATAGGTGCCATTTGTTTATAGGTTATCTTCGGTAATTCGATGCTATCATTGCTATCAAGCATCAACTTGTACTTGTATTCGTCTCTTTGTCGGAAGTAAGAGTTAGTTTTAGCTTTGTCCGGCTTTCATCGAAGTTTTTTGCAGAACATGGGATTTGAACTTACACGATTCTCCGAAGATGTCGACGAAGAATTAGTTTGTCCTATCTGTTCAGCTGTATTAGAAGATCCTGTTCAAGTAAGTACCTTTTCCATGTATACCTGTAAGTAGGCCATGTTTCAATCACCTAATTTAAGTCATTTTTTGACATTGCTCCCCTACTATGTACTGAACTTTCAATTCTTAAAGTTATTATGCTCTTAAGTTGCTCCGTACATGTTGGTTCTGCAGCTCTAACTTATCATATCTTCAGGAAGCAGCCTGTAGCTGGACAACGGAAATGCTGACAGTTCTTCGGGGCTTCTTGACTTGCTAGGCTGATTTCAACATCTCCTGCCTCAGTATTAACCTCAAGCCTACAGTGTGTAGTTTAGAAAGTGATGGCTGAGGAGCAGAATTTTGTGAGTGGCTCAACCTATTATTTACAGGTTAAAATGCAGGGATTTTGGCACGTTTAAAGGATCCAAGCATGCCGAAGCCAATCCACCCTCAGATAGCAGGTTGAGCTGTTCACCTGGTTCACCCCTCTGCTGCCACATTTCGTGTCGTAGACTATAATACTTTTGTTAAACATTTTCCAGAGGTGCTCCCTGGATTCCTTACTTTGTCAAGGGCTCGTTATTCTAGATATCTCATCCTATTCTGCCGAGCGTGCAATGCTCTCTCCCCACTCCACCTCTGGTGCTCTAGCATGTGTCAGAAATTCGGAATTAAGTATTGATTCCTTTGTAAAATTTTGCAAACATCATGAAAGTACCACCAGTTTTCTCGGAATTCTGAAACCAACTCCAAAACTTCAAAGAAACTCTCGAAGTTGAGGCTTTAATGGAGGGGATATCCCTCGCTACGCTGAGTGTTTACCTCTATATCTAGTCAGTCTCAATGCACAGATAGGAAGAGAATATGTTATCAGGGTTGCAACTGTGATTGGAGACTCCTGAGTCGGACCATGGCAACCTCGCTAATGTATTTGCTCCCTATCTGCGCATGGAGAGTTTTACTAAATATAGAGATGGACTCTCAATGTAGCGTATGATATCCCCTTAGTTACGGTCTGAACTTAGAGAGCATTTTTTAGCTTGGAAGTAGATTGCAGAGAAAATTGGTGGCAACACCGCGTTTCTCGCCAAAGTTTACGCAAGGAAGAGTATTTAAGTCGCAAATCCCCCGCACACAAGAGGTCTATTCTCTTTGAATTTGCCATTGTTTGTGTTTAATGAGTGGCGATTTTATTAAGAGACAGCCAGGAAAATTTCAGCTCATTGCTCTATGTAGCAATGTCAAGTTCAAGTGTATACTTCTCAGCTAATATATTGTCCTCTCAATTTCTAGGCTCCCATTTGTGAACATGCGTTTTGCAAAGAATGTATTCATGAATGGTTATCAAGGCAGCCAACATGCCCTGTTGATAGACAAGCTCTTTTCACACCACAGTTGAAACCTGTTCCTCGGATTTTAAAGAATTTACTTTCAAGGTATGATAATTTTTTTCATGAGTCATCGTTACTCTCTTTCTGGGTGATACCACTGTTTCAAGTATTTAAGATAATGATTAATTTGATTATTTTATTATGTAGAGACGCTATTAGTGGCGACGTCATAATAGGAATTCTCCATTATATCGAATTGGATCCAAACAATAACATTGGCATAACCTCTTCGAATGCTACCAATGCAAAAAAATCAATATGTATTGCTTTTCTGTGACGTGGCACTAATAGCGTCTATTTATATTTTATCTAACAAAATACCCGTCCTCACTTTCCTGCCTTTATTGAGTCTCTTGATTATAAAACCTGACTCATCTCTTATGAAGAGTCAAACTGTGCACTTGCCTCTTGCTGAACTGAACCATGCCAAATTACCCAGTAATGGAGTTACAAACAAATGTTGAATTAATTTTATTATATGCATCTCTTACTGAAGTTCTTGCCTTTGAGTTAGGTTATTCTGAGACCTCAGTCCGACAGAAGTTGCAGCGCTGCAATCTCTGCCTGCGCCCTCGAGTAGACCAGAAAGACCCTCTTGCACTATACCTTTTCTCTGAATAGCAGAGACTTAGTTGCGGCATGCATTTCAAAGAAGTGCAGAAGATGTGAAAGTGTTCTTCTTTTGTTGATAACCCTTTAAGAATGGCAACTTTACTGAAGGAGAAGGTCCCACTACGGAGGGGTTTCCAGCCCTAAAATTTTGAGGGTCTCAGCATGATAGCCTTTTACCTTAGACCCTAAAGCAATGTAAAATATTCATGTTAACTGAGCTGGTTGTGAATTTAAGGCATTGCACGCTTCATTGTCTGATGAGAAAAGCATGAGTTACACAAGAGGGAAGTAAGTAAATGTAATGTTTCAATTTGCAAACAGACTTCTTTTCACATAAAGCGTCTCCTGTATTACCTCATACTTTAACATTTTAAGCCTAGTCAAATTTAAATTGATAATTGCTTTTCAGATTGAATATTTCATGTGATAATGCATCATATGGTTGCACTGCCATCCTGAAATTAGATCAGCTGTCCAGCCACTTATCTGAGTGTGAACATAATCCAAAACGGCCTGTATTGTGCGAACAAGGATGTGGTTTAGTCACTCCAATGGATGAAGTAAAGGTAGATTACTTTCAATCTTTAAGTACCATCCTCATGTTTTGAATGCCAATTGTAGTTTGATACCTCCCACTTAAACTTTTAACTGGCCTCAAGGTATGTTTTACTAGAGAATAAATCATTCAACAGGGAAAAGAATACACGCATAGTGAGAGTGATTGCTTAACCATTCTGCAGGGAATTTTTTATGGAATATAATTCCATAAAAGGCAGGAAGTGTAACTCATTTGCAGTCATTGAGTCATGGATTAATATTTTCATGTTATGAATCTCTTTTACCCCGCAGCAATTTCTCATATTGTGCACCTTAACTGAGCCACACTAGAACAGCTCATGGCTGAGTCGAGTCGCGAATTATTTTTGTATTTAATGTAGTGAGAAAATAAAGAACTAATTGAAATTGAATTGACTTTTACCTCCCAGGATCATAACTGCGTCAGAGAATTGAGATCACTGATCCATAAGCAGCAGCAGAAATTATCTGACATGCAGCAGGAAATGAGTGAACACAGATTTCAGATTAGTGAGCAGAAGCGGGAATTAGATTTGCTCAAGGTAAGAGGTCATCTGATCTAAATTTTTTTATAATCTTGGTTGGATGCATCAAGTGTCATGGAAAGAAAAAATTTCGAATGGTACTTCATTCATCCAATAGTCCAAATAGGGCTCCTAATGACTCAATTATTTCTGTACTCTCGGATCAAAAATCACTTTAGAGATGGGCATTTTAATTCTTGAACGGTAGTAGTAAGAGAACTGGAGGTGAGCATCAAACATCTGGCAAATGGTGATTTTGAGCACCCGTTTAAGGAGTGACAAAAGCGTTGGAAAAAATATATTGCACCTTAAAATGATGAAAGTGAGAGTTAAAAAGTTGAAATTGACTTAATTTTGTGAAACAAGTGATAAATTTTTGGTAGCACAATATTTTTTAAATTTCCTACAGTCCTTATTGAACACCTTTTGCAGAAAAGTGTGTAATAGCTTTGGCTACCTCCTGAAAAGATATAATGATTCCACAATGTTGTGGATTGTATTGTAAAAAATTGATAGTCAAGCGAAGGAATTGTTTTTGCTCTCAATCATCATCCCATATTTTATTCCCTTGTATGTTACATTAATGTGGTTTATTTCAGTATCATCTATTTTTAAATTTGAATTAAATTTTTTTTCCCAGGAATTTATGCGTGCCATGCGCATGGCAAATCCAACAATGCAAGCACTGGCAGATGAAATGGAACGAGAAGAGGTTATCAGATGGTCTACATCATTGACGAGAGCCCGAGTTACTAGGTGGGGTGGTATGATCTCAACTCCTGATGAATTACTCCAGGTAGGTTTCTTCAGATTCGCATCCCATTGTTGCGTCCATGAGACATTGCAATTGTTATATTCAACAATCCATCACTCTTGAGGTGATGTAAGATGGGTTGCAAAAAAAAAATTGCAGAATGAGCCCATTTAAAAGTTCATTATGCTCACATTGCGCCCTATTTCAAAGAAGAACCAAATAATTTTACTAGATACTGTGTTTAAAATAATTTTTTCATGAACTTAATTAAAATGCACTGAAGCTTCTCAACTCTGAGCCATCGCAGGGGTTTGCAAAATGCAACTATATTAAACAATAAGTTGGGTTCTGAGATCACATGTTGGTGAAAAAACAATATTGTGTATAATTCCCAAAAAATATAGAAATTTTGAGGAAGAAAAATTGGCTGCAGTAGAGGAGAATGATAATGAGGGAAGTTAACAAACCAACAAAACAAGGTAAAACTACAAGAAACATTCAACTCTACCCTGCCCTACTGACAGTCTATCCTCTATATTGTCTATCCTTTATGAGTTGCTTATGAATCTAGCTGTAAGTAATATCTGTAAATCCTCTAACTCATCTGATTTTAAGATTATCTTTCCTTTATACATGATTTCGTATGAACCAGTGTCCTTTTGTAAAAGCTAAGCACATGCATTTTTATCAATGAGTTTTGTAGTCCCAAGTTCTATTTAGTATTAAAGTATGATATTCATTTGCAGAGCCACATGAATTAGAGCGAACTCTCCCATCGAGTCTCGGTGAGAGTAAATCATCTTGCTATCTTAATTTAGTCTGTATTTTTTTTCTTTTAAAAACAAATTAACTAAATTACCAGTAACTCTTCAATCAATTTTTCTAAAACAATGTACTCAAATTTCAGGTGGTCATCAAGCGTTCTTTATCGGAAAGTGGCTGTCCTCCACATATCGTTGATGAGCTCATGGAAAACTGTCACGAGACTAACTGGCCTCCAGGTTTATCCTCATTGGAAACCAGGCAAAACAACAGAAGACATTATGAAAGTTATGTATGTAAACGGATTCCTGGTAAGCAGGCTGTTGTTGTACTGCACTGTGATAATCCCCATGTCAACGATGATATGATGGCAGAACCTGGATTAGTTATGATTTTTGCCCATGGTATCGAATGAACTTCATTTTGCTGACACCTGTTCAAGATATGCTGCTCATTTTTTTAACAGGTTGACTGCCTCCCCTCGTATTTAAAGACTGACAGTTATGTTCCCTATGATGCATTTCTACCATAGTGGACCGCAATGAAGATTCTATTTGCCAGCTTAACTCTGGATACATTTATCTCAACTTGCAAAGATACAACCAAAGCTCACCCAATGTATTGAAAAATTAAAATTTATAGCATTCACCTCTTATTCTGATTGAAAAGAGCTTAAAATGACGGTTTCAAGTGTATATTTTGTTCCCATCTAACTGTGAATGTACTTAGGATAGGGAATTCAGCCGACTTAAAAAAAAAGTAAAGGGAAGGGGAAAAATAGATCAAGTTGGGCTATAAAAAGCATTAAAGTCATAATATTCGAACAGAGGAAGAGAGTACTGGAGAAGCTGTGTTGAATCATTCACGCTGGTTGTTCATAAATATTCCCATTTGTAAAGCACTTTCAGGAACAGTGGCTACAAGTCTCAGAATAAGTCAGACTTGCCACTTAGTCAGTTCAAGGACAGCGCAGCACGAATAAGCTCAGCTCATCAAATTGAGTTAATAGGTTGAGTACAAGGGGAACATCGTCATTTTTTTACGTTTCCTTGCTTTTTCTCTCTCAAGTGAAAGTTGTTCTTCAAAAATTTTAAGCTAATAATTTGATCAGTTTTCCTCCAGAACTAATAAGATCGTAGCGAAAAGTTTGAGTTACTTGTTTTCAGAGTTTGCTTCTGTGGCTGATCGCGCCAGCTTCCTGATTTTGAAGCAGTATTGCAGTGCAGTCAGTAGATTGCGTCATGGAACTTTCCAACCACTTGTTTTTTTCTTTTTCTTTTTCTCAAAACTTGGAAGTTGAAGATTTAGTTTAATTTTTGCTCTGTTAGTGGTACTAGTTGTTAGGAAAGCACTGAAATTTCTTTGGCGGTCAACATGTTAATAGATGTATTTTGTAATTTTGCTCCTATTTCTATGGTGCGTTGCTTGAAAGTAATTTCTCTCTAGATGTATTCATGTTTTCATTTTATTTGTTGTAAATTTTGCTTTACTCAACATTCCTCAAAATTTTGTCTCAGGATATTGTGATTTTTAAAGTTAGTACAAAGTTTCCATATTCAACAGATTTCCTTTCAGCCTCACTCAATTGAAACTAGTTTATTTTATCAGCGACCTTAAATTAAACATTTAACTGAAATTTTTATTGAATTTAATTTACAGATTTTAAGGCACACAGAACTATCTATAGTGGAACTTAATTTTAACAATTCACTGAGGACTGACAAAAAAATGTATTGAATAGAACCTGGTGAAAAACCAGAGACATTTTCAAGCGACACCTTTTTTTTACTATTGCTTTTGATCTAATTTTTTTGTTATTTGCTTCTCCCTTTTGCATTGTAACTCAGCAACAGTCGAGATTAATTCTGAGCTTATTATCATATTAATAATTTTAGTAGAATATGTGGTAACAATTAATTGATAGTGCAGGAAGAAGTGTTTTTCTAGAATCAAAGCAGTGTTTTTGTTTGCAGACAGTATGAACCTCAGTCAAAAAACGAATTTTATCAAAAGGCCGTTGAAGTATTTTAATCAACTCCCAAAGAGATAAAAAATGCTCGGGGAGGAGGGGGATCTGAGCCTAAGTTACATAGGGGAAAGGTGAGCATTCAGAGCTGATTCATGCAAAGCTGAGATGAAAAATCAATGCGAGGTGGCAATTTGTCATCCTGAATGAATCACAAAATGCTAATTTCAGGGCGGTGGGTTCAACTGGATGTTCAGTAATTTTTATGGGGGGTAACTTAAGCCTTGTTTCCACGGGAAGTTTCGTGGGACTTGTCCGACGGAAAACTCTCACCTGCGAAGTGGGAAAATTATTGAGTTGATCAATATGAATCACAGTACCAAGTAAAGTCTTTGTGGAGTCCTAAGAGGGACTCAGAAAGAAGAAAACAAAATTCTGTGGTTTTGTTTTAACTGGGGAAAAGCCCAGGAGTTTCATTCCGGCGATTCGAACTTGAGAAAAATCCCATGAACTGTTCCATGGAGACAAAGCTACACATTTAATTGTATCCCGAGGAGGGGAAATTTGATTTTTGGCGTCAAGTATTTTATGAACAGCCCCTAATGGGTTTGTTGCACTAAATATTAACAGAATCATGTTTGATGGTTGAATCCTACAGAGTGGCATTAAACCTTAAAATCTATTCGCACATGAAGTTGCCATTTTTAATACACATTAATGAAAATATTGACCTTTGAAAAATGCATTAATTGAAGTCATTCACTGTGATAGTTCGCTTCAAGGTTTTCTCCACCCTGCCCCTGCCAGTGATGCATGTGGCACGAATGCTAAAAGTTCCAAAATCCCGATTGTTCCTTGTCATCTGGTATTTTAGCCTCACTCTCAGTCTTCCATTTTGCCCCACGGAATAACGCCCAGAATTTCGCGGCACAATGACCAATTTTTGAAGAATAAAGCTCTAAAGCTACAACAATAAAACTTGATTCTATGATTGACCCATTCCCACCGCAAGTAAAACTACAGTTTTCAACTAGAAATCACAATCTCAATCTCAATTAGGTAAATTATTATCCTCAATGAAAAAATGATAGCACTCCATCACTGTTCCTGATGAAATATGGTCTGCATATTTATCAACTGAGTTTGACAGAAATAAGAGATCTCTTCTATCATCACAATACGGCATTTACTCTTTGCATTTACACAGAAAGTTCCTTACCAAGACGTTCATTGTCTCGACAGACTTTTGCAGGTTCTACTCCATCTATGAAAGTGTGCTGTCTTGAAATGTAGTTTTGAGGCATTACTTATCCATTGCCCCTTTTTCTAATGGCATTTTTGTAGAATTATTTTCATGCCTATTTTTGTTTAGTCGTAGGAAAATATTATTTTGTAACATTTAATTTTTTAATCCTTATTGCTTGTAATAAAAGTAAGTGAAAGACTAAAAAGTGAAAAAATTGTAAATAAGCAGCCTTTTTGGAGCGTATCGATTTAAGTTTTTATACTGTAACTATCAAATTGTTATGTCCTGCATTAGTTTTAATAGTTCATATTGGTTAAAGTGCTGTTAATTTTTATTTTTGGTAGTACTAATTTTTAAACATGATAGATTTTTTTTTTCAATTTAAAGATCTCTTTTGGGGAGCGTAATTGGTTTTGACAATTAGTTGTCACTCCCCAATAATGTAATGTGCTGTCAAGCAATAAATGAAGATTGTTGGATTATGTACGAAGATACAGTGTATGTTTCACTTGGGAAAAAATAAAAGTGTACAAAACGGAAAGATAAAAAAAAATCATGTAAAGATACTTTCAGGCTTTCTGAACTTGTTCACCTTTGGACATCACTAATTAGTTTTTTGAAGTCTATAATCTTTTTTGAATGTTGAACAAAAATAAAAGTATTTTGTCAAGAGAAAAAGATAAATAAAACAGCTTTGATGTTGCTTTGTAAACGGATTAATTATTAAATAAACTTTGCGCATATAATTCATTATTTGATCGCAATTACCTTACGTTGTAGAACCAAGGTCCTGTTTACAGAGGTAAAGAATCCTCCAAACAATGGGCTGTATTTAAAAGTGGTTTGATGCATCGAGAGGTTCAAAATATTGAGATAACCTCAATACTCACCCTTACAACGAGCAATACAATATCAGAATATTTCAAAATATTGCGTTTTTGGTCTCGATATCTTAATCAATAGTTGCAGTTAGTCAGATGAAGCCTTTTCTCAGAAAACACTTGCATTTTACTGCTCATTGTACACGCAATTATTGAGGTTATTTCAACGTTTTAAACCAATGGACATCCATGTATCGCATGGATAGAGCGCCCGTTTAATGTATCAAATGTGATCCATGGGAGAAAATTTTCTTACATTCCTTTTTTTTTTTTTTTTTTTTTGCACTGTCCTGATATGGCATTAATACTATATATGAACTTGCAATTTATTTATCTTACATAAACCTTTGAAAAAGGTCACACATTAAAGGCTTGAGAGAGGCATCATTATCAAAGATGCTGTTCATATCTTACTTCATGCTCCATGAGAAAGATGGGAGGCTGACAATGTGAGATGTCTGCAAAAATTTGTGTGAAACGCTGACATGTCGAAAATACTCTAGTAAAAATATTGGCATAAAATGTCATCTTCCGATGTAAATGGATACAAATTTTTACGAAGCAGCTGGAGACAATGGTAACGAAAGAAAAACAAGGAGAAAAACCAGGAAACAAGGCTAAAGAACAACAATAAAACACCCGCGGCATTTAGACTCAGAATTGAGTCATTCTCAGTCGGAAAATAAATTCAAAAAATATCGATTTAGGTATCAATATCTTTTCACTTTAAATAATTACTTAAAAATCTAAAATACTTTTTTTAAAATTTATTTTCCGTTTGAAAATGACTCACCTTTGAGTGAAAACGTTTTGGGTGTTTTATTGTTGTATTTTAGCCTTGTTTCCTCTTTTTTCCTCTTGTTTTTCTCCTGTTACCTTCGATTTAAATGGGAGCAGGAAATCTAGCGAAGCGTTCCATAATTTTTTCAAAGAATTTCAGATCTGCATGGTGAGTGTATGAGAAGGAAAGGAAGGAGGGGATGTCAAGAATTCAGAATTTCAGTGTTGCATAATTTATGGACATAATTTAAACTGATGAATAGAACGTTGAAAAACTATTACTGAGAGAATTTCTCATGACTGGAAAGTTAGAACGGATGGTAAAAACTATAACTCATCAGAGGGCTTGAAATAATTTTTCTCGATTTTGAAATTTGAATATTTAAACCAAATAACACAGTAATTGGAAAAAAACCTCTCTGTTGTCAGCATTGGTGTAAATAGCTGAAAACTTGGGATATTTTATTTGAAAACTTGAAGAGTCTTTAAAGTTATCACCATCCTTCTAACCAACGAACAAATACAGCTAGCAAAATATTGGTTGTTCGAACTGAAAAGTAATTTCATTGGCTTTTTACAGCAGAACTGTTGAGCTAATTTGGTCAAGAATTTGCTGATTAACAGCAATTTTTGAGTGATAATTGATGAACGATGAGTTCAATCACCCTCCTCCAGGGAATCTTTAGACGTTTTTCGAGCAGAGAAGAAAAAATTTTCTCTTCCTAATTTTGTTGGTTGCCAGCTATATCCATCAGATATGATGATCCAAGATGTCAGACTGGCGACCGCACCTCTTGAGAAATTTGAAAAATTGACCAATAGGAGGTTACTGCTCATGTCTCCATATAATATCCAGTAGGAGCCCTTCAATTGGCATAAGCCAACTGAAGCAGTCCTAGCAGCCATCAATTTGCCACCAGGCTCTTGGAAGTAGTGGATCTACTGATCACAAAAATGGCGACCCTACGGTACCCGCACAAATGAAGCCTTGCCCTTTTCTGATGGCATTGATCAAATAAAATTCAAAGCATCGCACTCTGATGACACAATATGGTGACTGATGGAGCTGATGTGGACAAATAATATGCGACTTTAGTTCGAATGAAATGAAGTTCAACAGACTACAATTGACAAACAGATGATCTATAATGTGTAAAAAATGAGACAGTGGAACACATTAAACTGAAAAATTAAATTGATTACAACATATAAAAAATGATTTGTACTTAAACGCTGTACACTTAAAATGGGTAATTATTATGTACAAGTATTTACATGAATTACCATGATAAAATAATGGGGTAACAACATGGTAGATAACTGTACTTTGTTGCAGGACCAACAATTTTTTTAATAAAATTGAACAAAGAATGCATAAGAGGTTTATTTCCTGCTGAAAACTATCTGCAACAGGCATCTTCTCTAGTGTGGACTTGTGTCAAGAACAAACTACAATTCGTGACAAAAAAGGCGCTAACAGTGACTGAATCAGACACCTTTTCTTCAATTCACATGACTTCTGAAATTGAATTATGAAAGTAAGTTGGAAAGTTTAAGTTAAATAAGAAAAATGCATGTTTGAAGCATTCAGAGATAACAGCCATCTCATCAAATTGAGGAGTTCTCCTGTTTATTTTTATTCTTTAACTTAAATGTACAAAAAATTGAGATTAAAAATTGCCGCTAAAGATCAGATCGGCATTTATATTGTTAAACCGAGCTGAATTTCTCTCAGTCTTCAAAAGAGCTGTGCATAGTCAATTGACGTTACATAAAATACATTAAACTGTCAGAAAATTCGTAAAAGTGATGATAAAGACTGGAGTGGAGTTAAAACTCACACAAGATTAAAATACATAAAAAACAATAAGGAAATCTAACTTTACAGCTTTCTTCAACATAATAATCAATGGCACTATTATGAAAATAAAAAATTTTGGGGAGGGATAAGTGTTACCCAGAAAAAAGTATATACCAATCAGGGCAAGAGAAGGGGAAAAAATGAACAGTCTAATTGACTGAATATCAGTAATTAACATAAGCGCCACATTAATGGATTCAAGACGAATTATAGTAGATATTCGATTTAATGTCAGTCTTAACATTTAAGAATAAATACTTCCTTTGAAGGAGCAACTTTCAAAATTAATTATTGTTTCTTATAACAATCCATATTAGGCTGATTCATTTGAACCCATTTTTACACTTGCATGCGCTGGAAATTAGTCGGGTCAACAAATTCTCTTGCTTGGGCTAAGTTGACGTTTCTTGCTTGTTAAAAATTATGTGTCCCTTCTCCTGCTTCCAGCTTTGAATTTTAAAAATTTTCTCCTGCTTCCAGCTTTGAATTTTAAAAATTTAAATTCAACGCATGGTGGCTGTTTAAGCCACAATATTATCATCCCGTATATATCCAAAATGAAAATGAAAGATAATGACAGATGAGATTTTGTCAGCTTTCATTTAATTTTAGTTTTACATTTGATGGAATGTGATAGCTAAAAAAGCTGTAATTAACTCCTAAATTTTCAGAACAAATCAGGAGGGAAAGGAGGAGAAGAGCCCATAACTAGGTAACAATTTGCATTATAATTAAATAAAACTTATTCTGTTTTGTTTGAACAAATTATGCAATCACAAATAAAAACGAAAATAATCAAGTATATAAAAATGAAAAAATGGTGATGATGAGAGCATTGAATTTCAAACATTTAAAATAAAATGAGTGAAGTGATGTCACATTTTACAAACAGGTCATAACAACTGTGTTTGTTAGGATGATAACTTAAGATGCTAGTTTAATGTAGAGAGGCAAAACATCTTTCGACGACGAAGTAAAAAATATAAAAGAGTTATCAAAAAGAATAATTATGAGGACAAACTAAAAACAAAAAAGGTTGTAGAAAAAGGTAATTGAACAAATTTCATGAAAAATTGTGATGTAAAAAAAAACGCATATAAAAGTAGAGAAGAAGTAAAAAAATGACAAAATGTTTTCCTCTCCCGCATCAAGGCAAACGGGTCAAATCTTCCCAACCTGTTATGTTGCTAAATGCGGAATGATCAAAAATGCTCCATTCCCTGGTAGTATAATGCTTTGCTGAAAAAATATACACTTGAAGGATGAAAATATTGAAAAATTTAACGGCAAGTTTTCAAGGGCTTTCATCCATAATTAATTATTTTTTCTGAGTGGTTACTAGTCTTTTCTGGGAGTTTTGCGAATTGTAGCAAAATCCGTCCAAACATCTCTAAGCACTTAGTTACAGCTGTTACATTGCAGAAACAAGATTTCATTATGCATCAGGCAGGTTGCGGCAAATTTATAGAATTCTTGGTGTACAGAGCAGAATAGAAAAGAAAATTGGAAGGTAGAGGGGTTTGTGTTTAAGAGACAAAATCCTCATAAATTTTTCCCAAAGAGAAATATACTTCGATGATCAAAGAAACTGATACTTTCTGGTGAAACTGTCTTATTGAAAAGTATGTTTCACAGAGGTTAAAGCTGGAAAAATACTAAAGGATTAATAATAAAAACAAAAAGAAGGATTAGAAATTTGTCAATTTCTTCATTCAGCTGATGTTACTGATCACGCTAACACTGAATGGAGTCTTAGAATGAATTTTCCTACATACAATAATCAGTCTCGATGAAAAACATAGGACACTAGAGCCTAGCACTCAATATGAGTTGTCAGATAACTTGGAACTATATAATAGTCATTACACGATGCAGTTACTATGAAGTCATCACAGATCATGAATTTAAAAAGCAAAAAGCTGTACGAAATTTCTGTTGAGATTAAAAAAAATGACTTAAAATCTAGATTGACTAGAGTTTGATTAGATGTGCGCTGGATGTTTATTATATGGTGGAGGCAATTTGACGATGAGCTGATGCGGCGAGGACAAGTGTGTGGAGCTAGTGCGGTCACTACTGCTGTTGGTGCAGTATTGAATGGTTGTTCCTCGCCATTGTCGTAACCTTGTGTGGATTTCTGGAAAGTGCGGACGCCTGATAGGCGCTTCATGCCAGCATTCCATCATCAGTGAGTACATTCGACTCGGACAATCTTCAGGACAAGGTAAGAGCTGTCGCGATCGAATCATCTCAATTACTTCTTGATTACTATAACCATAATAAGGCTGAAACAGAATGCATACTTCATGAGAAAATGGGATTTTAGGAAATGGATTGGAATTTCCTAGTGTTGAGTGGAGGAAAATGAATATTGTTCATCTTGTCTTTTCAAAGGATGTCCGTCCTTGGTAGGGCCATCAGGAACATTGAGTAAAATGATTGCTTTTTCCAGGGTTCACTTGGTTGATTTTTTCTTCAATTTTGGGGCCAACACATGTTTAGGATAGAAAAGCGACATAAAATTTGATTTTTCAATTCTCAAGTATTTTGAAAAAAAAACAAAAAGTCACGAAAAATTGGCTCACCAGTCTTCAAGACAATTTATCAAGGTTATCCAAAAATTCCAAACATTACTTTCCTTATTGTATACTTTTAGCGGTACACCAAAAAAAAAAAAAAACTTCAAATGCACGTTCCTCAAAACAATTTTTTTCGGCTGCAGTTTTCCAGCAATTGCCTCAATTGGGGATCTTAGGTGAATAGAAATGTTTCTTTTTTGAAATTACTTGTAACCACAAGAGCTAGTACATATAGATGATAAAGAAAACAACCGCTGACTAACTTCCTTCACTAGAAATAAAGGGACAGTAAATAGGGAAACTATTAGAAAGAGAACTTACTTGAAGTCCATAACTGTAAACCTCCCACAATACAACACCATAGCTCCAAACATCAGATTCCGTAGTGAATTTTCCGTATAGTATAGATTCAGGAGGCATCCACCTCACAGGTAACAATGATTTAGATTGAACCCTAGAATAATGGAAAAGAAAAAGAAATTAATATGGATGATGTAAGCCCTAATTAAACACCTCCCTCTCCTAACTTACAAGGGGAGCTTCCCAAGTGTAACCGGAATTTCGAGTTGAAATTTCGCATGAAGATACTAGAGATGATTTTAGGGATGCCGTATTTTTTCGTTTTTTCGAATGGGGTCGGGAAAGCCCTCAAAAAAGGGCTAAAGATGCGGAAAAAAACGCGTGCGCTAGCGGCACAAGGTAAACGTAGGTGATAGAGGCTCTGAATCCTTTTCAGTACCGCATGGCCAAACGGTAGCGCGCTCGCCCCGCAGGCGGGAGGTCCTAGGATCGGATCCTGATTACAACTCGTAAATTTATTTTACTTTATGCTTGTTTATTTTTCACTTACTTTATTTTGCACCATTCGCTCCGCAAACCGACTTACAAGGTAGAACACGTAGTGACTGAGGATTTTTTACAAATGCTGATAAAAACTCGAAGTCTCTCTTGGATTGAAACGTTATATGTCATTGAACAAACAAAACACTCTATAACTCACCAAATTTCGTTGCCAAGCTGAATCTCCGGAGTATCAGTCAGATACAGATACAGATTCGACTGATATTCGACTGTGTTCTACCTCGTAAGTCGGTTTGCGGAGCGAATGGTGCAAAATAAAGTAAGTGAAAAATAAACAAGCATAAAGTAAAATAAATTTACGAGTTGTAATCAGGATCCGATCCTAGGACCTCCCGCCTGCGGGGCGAGCGCGCTACCGTTTGGCCATGCGGTACTGATAAGGATTCAGAGCCTCTATCACCTACGTTTACCTTGTGCCGCTAGCGCACGCGTTTTTTTCCGCATCTTTTAGCCCTTTTTTTGAGGGCTTTCCCGACCCCATTCGAAAAAATGAAAAAATACGGCATCCCTAAAATCATCTCTAGTATCTTCATGCGAAATTTCAACTCGAAATTCCGGTTACACTTGGGAAGCTCCCCTTGTTAGTGGAACCTGTGCCATGATCACCTGTGGCCTGCTACAGAACAACTGTTAAGAATTAAATAGCTAGTTTCTGTGCTTTTTTAAGGCAATAAACAAGAAAGTCATTATTTTTGGAAATTGCCTCATGGCCCAGGATTTGCCTCCTGTTTGCCGCATCTTTGGATTGCAAAATCACGCATTTTTTGGCATTCACAGACTTGGGTATTTGCAAGATAAGAATTTCAAAAGCGAAATACTAGAAATTCCAGACCATTTGCATATTTTCAACATCTTATTATTTCCAGGTCTCTTTTGTAAGATCCGCATCTTTTTGAGACTTGAGGGACCTGCAGATACTCTGAGGAGATAGATATATATAGGTTACCTGTAATAATCCGATGAGTAAATGTCTCTTGACAGACCAAAATCAGAAATTTTAACCGTCAAATTTTCTCCAACAAGACAGTTTCGAGCTGCTAGATCTCTATGGACATAATGATGGCTGCAAAGATATTCCATTCCTGAGAAAAAATATAGAAAGAGGTTTAAAAATACATATTTTTACAGAAAAACCATGTTTTTCTTTATTTTTTCGATTTTATCATGACCTGCTGAAATAATTTACATAAACTGTTCAGCTTCCTCCTTTCATTTCAAAAGTTCAGGAATTTCGATCAGCTTTGCTGTTTCCTGGTATTTCCATTGATTTTTGGTCAGTTCAAATCTTTAACTTCTAGAGGATACAATCAGAAAGCTGAAAGTTTGAGTTAAAGATTTTAAGTGAAAAGATTGGATTTTTCAGAGAATCAAGGTTTCATCAGTGATAAAACTAAGATGAAAAAATAAGGAGTTGCGGGAAAAAACCCTCGAGAATAAATCCTCACATAGTTAGAAGCATTTTACTCACTCTTTACCTCGCAAGAAAGGAAGCATAATTTTGCAGGGAAGAAGGAGTTTGAATACAAACCAAACTTCTAGAATGTCTACATGATCAATTGTAAAATTAATACCCCATACACTAAGTTTTCCCTTTTTTTTCATTAAAAATTTTTGAAGCGCTCAAATTTATCTCTGAAATACTAATTTGGCCAGTTTTTCAGTTTTATCAGTTTGCCAGCATCCTACGGTACAGCGAATGTAGCACTGGCTCCATAATTAGGAGGTCTCGGGTTCAATTTCCGGCCAGACAACTTGAGTTTGATGGTCTCAAAGAATGGTTTGCTGGGGCTTTTTATGTTGGCTCTTACAGTGGACCGATGCAGCGCTTTTGGGACAGTCTTTGTGATTCAGCAAAACCCGAAGGTTCCTGGTTCAACACCTGAATTTTCTGATTTATTATGACCATCAGACACTCTGCCAAAGAGATGAGAAGTTGATTGAGCATTCTTCGAAAAGAAAACTAACCTGCTGCAATCTGTATAGAGATATGCATGAAATCTTGTTGATCCAAGGGCTGACTCAAGTGAGAGTTGCTGAGGTCTGAGCGCGGTGAATGTGCCATGAGGAACTCGTGCAAGTCTCCACGAACCATGAACTCAAACAGCATGCAGAGAGGCTCACTGGATAGGCATACGCCAAGCAGACACACAATGTTTGGGTGCCTTAATTCAGACATTAAATCTACTTCTCTGCGGAAATCTGCAGCAGTTTTGGCACTTGCGTTTTCTTTCAGCGTTTTAATCGCCACCAGCATTGGCTCATTATCTTTCATTACTTCTCCTTTGTACACTTTACCTGTAAAAATACATAAACGAATAATGAAAAGGGAATGCGGCAGTCAGTTGATAAAACATATTTGGACACTCATGAGTTTCTTAGAATTTGCTGTATCCATCGCACACAATGGTGACACTTCGGGGTATCTCATATGAAAATAGGATGGATAGTATTTATTCAACAAGAATCAAAAGTTTTGTAAAACTAACAAAAATGTTTTTTTTAAGCAAGGAACTAATATAAGGTGCATAAAGTCTGTGATATACCACAAAAGTTGATTCATTGACGATAGCAGTTCAATTTTGTGAGCATTAACATTGAGCGCAAATTTTGATTTAAACAAATCATTGAGAGATATTTATTTGTAAGTGGGTCTCATCTGCCATTAAGATAAAGAGAAGTTTGAAATTTACACCTTTTACACTGAAAGTTACTTCAAATGAGAAGAACTAAAAACATGAAGGTGATACTCACACATAACATGAGGGTAATGCACAGGTACAAAATTTTCCGCATTTTCACGCGCCTGCCAGATGGCTTTCTACAAAATTTCTTCTATTTATTTTTAACTTTCAATCTATGACCTTCAGAAATTTTCCTTTCTTCGACATTTTAACATACTTGCCTGGGCGTGTGATTGAGCATTTTTTGCACTCCTGTGGTGAAATTCAAGTGAACTTCAAGGAGAAAGAAAACTCTTTGGCGCAGATGGAAAAAAAAAAATTTAAAAAAAAATGATGAATCCTTGTAAAGAAAGTAGAAGCGGTATGTATATAAAATACAAAGCATCTCAACTGGCTGCTCTGTTTCAAAACAACATTAGCAACTGCATTGATCTCTCAAAAGACCAACAACATCCCAACTGCTATTTTAATTTTTGGGTAAGAGGATTTATTCTGGTGATTTTAAAACATGCTCTCGACAAAGTTGATTATTTTACCCACCGAAAGCTCCTTCTCCGAGTTCTTGGAGGAAATGAACGTTTGATAAATGGTATTCACGAACTCGGGATCGGGTTTCAGATTTAACACTGGATACAGTCGAACCTGGGATGAGAGCTGACATTTCAAGTCCTGTGCCCTTACCATTACTTGTTTTGTTTTTGCTTGGAGAGTTCTGTAAGAAAAAGGTCATATTATTGAAGTCATATATTTCATGAATATGTTGTAAGACACAAAGAAAATTATGGTGGACAGATTTTTTTAAACAATTTGTAATATAAAGGAAAATGTTTTCTGAGCGGCACCAAATTGCTGGAGATAGAAGGTGAAAGATTAAGGAGATAAAGATTGTTTCATAAGGATTTATTTCTCTTACTCCTACAAGAAATTTGAATTGTTCAAAAATAGTCAACATCTTTGTGTTAATCTTTGTACTCAGCCTCAGCCTCCTGTGGTGTAGTGGTTGAGGTACTACACCTCCTACTATAAACCCCCCCCCCCCAACTTTTATTTTTAAAGAAAAAGCATCAAAAGACCGATTGATAACTGATGGAATTTTAAAAAAAGAAAAAGTGAAACAAATAACAAGGGGGAAAGAAACACCAATCAATAGACACAGGTTGACGATCATACAGTCAGGGCCGAGATGATGAAATGACTCTGCATTACATACAGTATTCTTACTGTAGAGATAAAACAGCTAAATTCTATGAGGGAAATTACAAATAACAAGGGGGAAAGACACACCAATCAATAGACACAAGTTGACGATCATACAATCAGGGCCGAGATGATGTGATGACTCTGCATTACGTACAGTATTCTCACTGTAGAGATAAAACAGCTAAAGTCCATGAGGGAAATTATGCTCTGTGCAAGATTTTGAAAAAATTGGAAGGCAAGATTAGAACTGAAAAGATAAATACCTTTACTCTAACTGGGGATGAAAGCCTATTCCGCATCGACTTTTGATTCTTCTGCCGAGAACAGCAAAGGTATATGACAAGGAATACAACAACAGTCACTGAGCAGGATATCCCAATTACCAGATACAGCCAAATATTATCGACTGTGAACAAATTTAACAAACAAACCGAGAAAATTAATCATCTCATCACAACAAAAGTAAATTTAAAGGTAAGTTTAGGGACTCCTCTCTAATTATAAAGTTTAGCAAAATCTACACAGTCATCTTCACAGATAGAAAGGCTGACGCTTTGAGCGACTTCCTTTGTGAGTGAGCTATGACTTCTGCTATTTAAATATGCTTTCTTGATGTAACCTTTATCTATGAGAATGTTTCTTACCATACATCCTAACTACAGAAGTGATCCTTTTTAAAATAAAACACTGATTTTGGTGATCTTGAAAAAGCGACAAACTGCAGAGAACTTGAAGGAGATCAACCCTTTCTACCTTCACATTTCAAATATTACTTTCGACAAGGGCTATTTTACCTCTTCATTCTGACTAGTAAGGGCAAATCGCACATTTTTCTAAGGAATTTTTTGGCTTTTTTCTGAGAGGCCGATAAAAAACTGGCCATGAAGCAGAAATATGAGGTTGCAAGAGATGGTTCAGGTTTTAGGCATATAAGCACCCCTGTTTCAAAGTTATTTATCATTTCACTCAGCAGAATTTCATAATTAATGGTGTGCGGTATTTACAAACGTAATCAGACATAAAAACAGGGGTTTAGTTATTAGTTTATTATTTTGGTATTGGAATCCTCCATGTACAATTATATCGACTACATTAATAACTTTTTCCTACCAAAAATCATCATTATAATCTCTTGGTCCAGCAAGCGAGGTAGCATAGGTCTGTGTGCTGGGAACTTCGCTTAATAATAGAGTTTACTATTCTTGCCAGTCTGTAAATTATAACTATTGAATTCAATTCTGTGGCACATACAACTGACCCAATGGCTAAGAAAAACAGTAACAACTTAATAATAGTAAAGATAGTTGATAATGTAAAAATCAATCTCTTACCACACTGAGGTATGCTACAAAATTGGCGCTCATTGTTTGACTCTGTGAAACACCAGGGCTGCTTTTCCTGAGACCCTGGATTTCTACAGTAAACATGACTGCCTAACAGTTCTGGATAAAGCGAGATGCGCAGAGACATCCCATGATTATGACTCCATTTCATGCACTTCTCTCCTGAGATTGCAACTGACACATTTCCGCGATAACTTTCACCACGCCCCCAGTAACAAGTCTGACCTATATGGTGGAAACAAAAAAAAACTACATTAGACAACAATTTACAATTTTCAAACTTGAATACCTACAGAAAATGACTAGATTTCTTGAACTGCTGATAATATGCTGACTGAAGCAATAGTTCCAACCCCCTGCCTACTGGTTGTCAAAAAAACATCGGAGCATTAAAATGGAGGTAAAGAAAGAAAGAAGAGAGGAGTTACAAGAGGATAGAGGGTTGAGGATGAAAAGAGGGAATGGTATGAATACGAGGGGTGGAGATCAACAAAGTTGCGAAAGCCCAAATTAAATTTTCCAAAAATACCAGGTTGTAATCCAAATTCTTGGCTCTGAAATTAGCTTAAGATGAGCTTTTTTGTTCAAAAATTGTTTGAGTTACAGCAATTTTTGGGGTATGTGTTAAAAGTATCCCCAAAAGATTTTCAAGTAAGTTTTCATTTCACAAACTGTTCTTATAAGACCAGCATACAGGAGTCCTCATGGATTTCGATGTTGTAAGTCAAGTTGACAGTTTTCTATGCAAGTTTCAATTTCTTTGCAAGTGTTCTCATTGCGATATGGAAATACTGTCTACCTGTGAGCACAGTTGAACTAATGACTAAGTACTTCGATGACGCATCTTTTCTTCCTATGCAATGAGTTTGCCTGCAGCATTGAAGCAAGAGCAACAGAATATTGTCTATTATTCCGATTGCCATTGTACATACATTGGTCAAAACAAGTCAAGGAGCATTGTTCCTCAGGCAATGATATATAAAGCGGAAAAATAACCGCTCAATTAAAGGTAATTAAGCTCGGTGAGTTGAGGGTTGCTTACTTCCATCAACAGGCTCTGGATCTGGAATACCTAATGGTAAACAATCGGCACTTTCTTGGGTCTTCCGAGGGGGCAGGTCATCACATTCCGGTACATTAAGTGCCTTTCCAATCAATGGATGACGCTTGGCAATGGCATATTCCACGCGACATAATTCGTTTTCTAGGATTTCACAGTCCTGAAAAATAAAAATTAACATTACTTATCAAGATTTTTTATTTTGTGCCCAGAAGATCATGAGATAAGTAAGACAGGGGGATGATGACAGGTGAGATAAATAATAGATTTTTGGGACGCCATGAGCCCCCAAAACATGACCTCAAGAGGAGATGATAAGTACTTAACAAACATAATTAAAGATTCATGGGCTAAAGTACATTTTTGGCAAGTTTTTTTATTAATTTTTTTTTAAAAAGTACTCAAAGGTCAAATTCTTTGTTATCTCTTAAAAACGGGGAGTTTCTTAACATTTCAACTACCTACAGATAACAGCTGATTGGTACAAGCTAGAATGGCGCAGGATAGTCACAGAAACTGTATAATTAGAGTACGTTCTATTTGAAAAATCTTGTGCAAAAAACAAAACCAATGAAATGGGAAAAATCGAAGGAAAAAATTACCTGAACACAAATTTTTCTGGGTATTTGAGTGTGCTTCCGACACAATGGAAAATTAGAGTAACATAATGAAGGCTTCACAAATTGCTGACAGCTTGGAGACAAATCCCTAAGGAAGAGAAATAGAGGGCGTTAAGTAAATTTGAGAAATCGATTTGAAGGTCATTAAATTCTAGTATAATACACTACATGGGAGAAAAGAAATCCTTTTCTGCGTTGCAATGGTTACAAAAGGAAACGGTTATAATAGGAAAGCAATTAATCAGAATAGACATTAGTAACAAAATAAAAAAGCAAAACAGAGCTTTAAGCTTCTCAAGTAATTTACATTAAAAAATGTTGAGCCATTTTCTGATAAAAAATAGTGACGACACACAGTGAATTTACAAGGAGGAAAGTAATTTGTGGATAACGGTTTGAAGTTGCCTTAAGAGGGGCTCAAAAAATTCTAGAAACAACAGGATAAATAATGCCACCTAGACTCTTGAATGGATTCCAATTCCAAACTATCAAATAAGTGGCATGCTTCTGATACCGACAGTAAACTTCACTTGAAAAATCTAGTTCTTATAACAGCCAGGTTCAAACTTCAATAATCTGTTTCATCCACTTTTGATACTTTGAAAAGATATCTCCCAACTTGTGTGGCATTTTGAACTGGCATAGCTTACACTTTTTTACTGCAGTATAAAAAAACTTACGGAGAGGTGTTGACGACGGTTAGAGCTGATCCTAATTTGCTCTCAATTTCAGCTTGCGTTTGGCCTCCAGGAATGTACACCAAATCTGATTGAGTAAATTCTGTGCACACAGTTCCTGTGTAGACCTAACAAGATAAATTACATTGGATTAGAATGAAATAATCATAAATACAAACTTGAGAGCATAAAAACAAGTAAAAATTTCGGGCTTCAGTTTTTCATTTTGGTCCCTTTCCTTCTTTACGGGCGTGCAAAAGAGACCTTTTTAATTTGACTAGAAAAAGCAGCTTGTACAACCATTTTTTCAAAAGTTATCGCCATACCTCCAAAATTTTTATTAAGCCTTCTTCCTGACTGTATTGAGCATTTGCATTAATTTCACTTCATCTTTTCATAGCTTTGATTTTTGTGAATTCTACAGTTTTTTGTGCTTCCTGAAATGTAGCAGTTTTTGATATGTACCCTTTTTCCGGATGGTCCTTCAGGTATCATGCAAAGAGTAAGAACTAATTAAATATTAGATAATTAGATTTCAATCTCAAGATAGTTCATTTGTATTGAAACACGTTGTCTGAGCAGAATCATTTTTAGGCAAAAGAATAAAACACTCAATGGCCAAAATACAAAACCTTGTATCTCCATTGCTACGTATCAAAGTTTCTGCTTTTATTTTAATTTTGGAAGAGAAACAAGTTGACTTCATAGTTTAAAATTTATACCACATATATTTTGCTTACATACAAGAAAAACTGAGCAAGTTTTCGAACAACTTTTGTTTTATTTTTTAATAATTAAATTTACCTTAACTAGTTATCCAAGGAAAAAATATTGGAGGTATGACAGGAAGTGCAACGTCGCAAACAGAGATACGCGGTTTTGCACTTTGGCTATCGACATGTATGATGAATTGGTTCAAGGAGTATTTTAAAAAGTCTGTCCAATTTTCCAAGTTGAGGCTGTAGCTGTTTAAATTTCCCTTCTTCATTCTCATCTTTTATTATCTTACGTTATTTTTGGTCTTTGTCTACATATAATTCATTGTTGCTATTTTCCCTCACAATTTTGTGGGTTTGCTTTGTTGACTTAATGCCATACATATTGTCAAAATTTTGGCTGATGGTTTGTGCAAACGAAAGATTTCCGCAGAGGAAACAAACAAAATAAGTTGGCAAAATTCAACCTTTGAACACAGTAAGATACGGTGGAATACAACGATATACGCACCTCACATCGCGCCTCTTTAGGAGCATGAGAATCTAATGAGGTTGGGATACCATGTGGTGAACCAGAATATCCGGGCATTGTGAAGCCGACCCCCATGCTGAAACAAATAATTCAGTTAATAATGCACAAAATATGGTTATGGTACATCTACTCATCTACGTTTCGAGACAGATGAGAGCCCATTTTTGAACTGAAAATATCCAGGGCTAAGCTTGTCCCAGGGGTGCAGAAAGTTCTTGGACTTCCCATTATAAAAACCCCCTTTTTCTCCAAAAAATTTGAAAAGATAACTTTAATAAGGCTCGAATGCATAAATTGGTGCTACTTTGAGCAAAACACTCAACTTTTACAGTGATTTGACGCAGAACACAAGATTTCTATCGCAGTTTTTCCAAAATACCTAATCGCAATTTTGCTATCTTTCCCATTTCAAAAGACTGTTTTTGTGGCCTTCCCATTTTCACAGGTGTCCGATCGTGACCTGCCTGTGTGGTTCTCGGACCCATTCTCCAATCCTCGAGTGGTCGAGAAGTTTTTGCACCTCTGGCTTGTCTTATCAGTTCCCTGAAAGTATTGTCTGACTCAGTTTTAATTACCCAATGACGCATGTGTTAACATATGAATGTACTTAAAGAATTTTACTAATTAGATAGGAAGTTTTTCAATGTAATTTAACTGGAATCTTCAATTCTAGAACTTAACTATGGTCACTAAAGCTGGTGGTCCTAATGACAATGACTCGAGCTTTTAGCTATTGAAGAGCTGAGAACTTTAAAGTCATCCTGATTAAAAGCAAGAGGGACTTGAACGACTGAAACTAAGTAAGGAGTACTTATACTACTTAAGTCTGTTTCCAAGTTAAAGCGATATCACTTTCACCTAATACCTAATTGCTTCCCCTGGGAATTTGACATGAGGAATTAAAATCCAACATTTCGGCCAATGGATAGTCAAATGACTGTTGATATATAAGAAAAATAACCATTCAAAAGGAAGCTTGCATATTTAGTATCAAACCTTGAGGAACTCGCGGTTGCTGTTTCTGTTTCTAGAATGATGGTTGAAGTAGACGCATTATTTACAGAAACTGTTGATTCTGTGGAGGATAACGGTGATCCTGCTGTGATCACTAATATAGATGAGAGGAGGAAAGATAGGAACATCGTTACCGGTGGTGGTAACACTTTAAAGGAAACGAACGCAGTCATTTTGAGAGGCTAATTTCCAAAGTAAAGGTAAAATAACTCGAAATTCAATCAATAATTGTTTAAGAGCTACGCCTGAGAAACTCAGTGTAACTTATCGCCATAGTTCATGATCTGATACATTGTAGATCTATAAATAACACACTTCATTGAAAGTATAGTGAGGTAAATGACCAATAAACAACATCCTTAGAATTAAAAGTACTTAATTAAATCCATGAACTGATAGTAACTGACAGAAAACACACTGCACTAAAAAAATGCGGTCTCATACACATCACACGAGACTCACGAGAGATAATCCTCATTCCCCGAAAGCCAAAACAATAAAAAATTGATAATGATTTTTGAAAAACAAAGCCAACTTCTCACAAAACGACGAGATTGATACACAGCGCCCTCTGCCGGAAGCTCTGTTGCACCGAGGACTGGCGCGGTAATTTCAAAACTTTGAACCCGTAGGACCGGTGCCGCCGCACAGTGGATCGAGTCAATAGGAGAGGTAGAACAAACTTTGGAAACTTTAGACGCGTATAACTCCGTTTATACAAAACTTTGAGGTTCTAAAAATGGATTGAGTGGTTTCCTCGTAAACTTTTCTTCTAAAAGCACCCCTTGAAATTTAAAATGTGACAAAATAAACATCAAAATTTGCAGTTTTAGTCAAAAAATTCATGTCTGACCTCTCTCGTTGACTCGATCCACTGTGTGCCGGCGCGGCGTGAGGTCGCATCGACGCTGAGTGTCTTAAAATATACATACTAACTAACTAACTAACTATTTTCATGGTAAGTGAACATATTTATCTATTTTATATGTAGAAAATGAAAATACCTGGATGTAATTTCCCTGCGAATTAATTTACAAAATAAGTTATATCTTTCCCTACATAATCAAGTATAAGTAAGTATTCAAATTATTCGTTTTTTCCTTTTTCCAATATCTGTTAAGGAGTTTTTTAAACTTTTCTAAAACCCCCTTGTTATAATGTCAAAGCCGTGGAAAGCGTGATGAGTTTGCTTGTTTTCAATTTTTACCCCGCAAAGGCCATGTAAAATAAAAAAAAAGTTGGATCCTAGCTGCGCGTGACCTGTAGTTTTTCATGAGTGCTCAGCACCAGTCCATGTGATGTATTGATTCACTTTTTCTTAACAGTTCTTATTAAAAATGATAAAAGGAAAAGATAAAGGAATTATTTATACGGGTCCATTTACCTTCCAAGAATGTGAGATGGCAACTGAGAGAGGTCCAGGTTAGGTCCGCGATCCTGAGCTGTAAACAGACAAAAACGTGGAGTCAAAAGTGAGCGAGTGAGCTTTTTTATTTTAAATTACATTTTCAATTTTCTCTACAAGATTATCTAAAGTATCTGAAAATGTTAAAGAAAAATATTCTTAACTTTCATCGAAAGTCAACTTGTTTTGCTCCCCGAGAAAATATAACAGAAGCTGATATTTTGAAACACTGCGACGGAGATACGTGGTTCCGTACTTTGGCCATCCTTTAAATGGTTTCACGGGAAATGTGGGAAATTTTATTTGACCATGCGGCGTTTTTCGTTAGCACGGCAGAGTAGCAACAGAGAATGGAGAGACTCTTACGTAAAATTATGTACCTACAGGGATTTCATCTTGTTACTTGTTGATTTGAAATTTTTCGAATCTTACACCAAATCGATGAAACAGATATCCTCTGTGACCGTTCATTGGATGAACTGCTTTTTCTCCAGTGAATGAATCGGACGGTAGTTCTAAGTATACTTTGAGGGAGGGGGGCATGGAACCGTCTATCCTTGCCGGAAACTATAATGGTATTAAGTGGCCATACGTAAAAAAACAAAATTACAACATTTTCTGGGGGTGGGAGTTTACTTAAACATATTACAGCTTAAACATACTCAGAATACATCATCAGCATCACCATGCATCAATCATTAGCAGCAATACAGAAAAATCTGTGGGCAGTCATATTCACTGACAATCTGACGCGAATTTAAAAGTGGCCAAAGGTAGAGGGCTAAAACAGGCTAATTATTACGGTCGAGCAACGCGCCTACTCGCTTCGTGAGTTCAAGCCTCGTGCCATCGCGCCTTCAACTTTGCATATATGCAACCCGGACATCCATCAAGCATGAATAGTTGTTTCTTTGCGCCGTCATCAACGCGCGCCATTCCCTAGTTTCCATATTATGTTTGTCTCGAATACTTATGACTGCCAATAGTTTGAGTTGAATGACGAGGGTAATGACCAGATCTCATAATTAACTGGAACGAAAGCAAAGGCACAAAAAATCAAATCAAGGGGATGCGCGCGTAACCGTGGCAGTAGCTCGGAGGATCAGTTAGTCCTTTCTTCCACGCTCCGAATGTTGTGGGACAAGAGAAAATCTCGTTATGCAAATACAGAAGATTCGAAAACGCCTTCAATTGAGGTGTGATACCTCACGCGTTCCGCAGAGTTCAAATAGTTGAATCCCTGCGCCTTAGAATTACCAAGGCGATGGAAGCTTAATATTGAAGTAGCGGCCCCGCTTGGTTTTTCGGTTTTCCAGTGCTGCTACTGCAGTTTTGGCCGTTACGGCCGTAGGGTAAGGGCGCGGTTTTCCTGTGCTGCTACTGCAGTTTTGACCGTTACGGCCGTAGGGTAAGGGCGCTAAAGCCAGGGTTGTATTTCACATACGGATGATTTTAGCAGAAAAATTAAAAATAAAGAAGCAGGTAATTCAACAAAATAATAAAAAGAACTCAAATCAACAATTTAATGCAAAACAGTTTGGAAAATCTCGTCATGTAAATACAGAAGATTCGAAAACGCCTTCAATTGAAGCGTGAGACCTCACGCGTTCCGCAGAGTTCAAATAGTTGTATCCCTGCGGCTTAGCATTACCAAGGTGATGGAAGCTTAATATTGAAGTAGCGGCCCCGCTTGGTTTTTCGTTTTCCTGTGCTGCTACTGCACTTCCGACCGTTACGGCCGTTGGGTAAGGGCGCTAAAGCCATGCAGGATTATTTTTCGCAAAAGGATAATTTTTGCAGAATAATTAAAAATTAAGAAGCAGGAGTAATTTAACTAAATAATAAAAGAAACTCAAATCAACCATATTTTCCAAAACTATTTGGAGAATCTCGCTAAGTAAATACGGAAGATTCGAAAACGCCTTCAATTGAGGCGTGATACCTCACGCGTTCCGGAGAGTTCAAATAGTTGTATCCCTGCGCCTTACCAAGAAGATGGAAAATTAATATTGAAGCAGCTTTCCCGCTAGCCATTTCGGGTTATTCCTTTGCCGCTTCGGCAGTTTTGACCGCATAGTGTAAGTTCGCTCAACCTAGGCTAGTATTTAGCAAATGAATAATGTGTATAGAAGAATTAAAAACATGGAAGCGGTAGGAATTTGACCAAATAGAAGCTACTCAAATCAACAATAAAATTCAAAGAACTGCAATAAAAAATGTGTCAGCAAAGCTCAAATTTGAGCCAAAGCACGTCCGAGCAAATTTTGATCTCAAGGACCAATTAGTAAGAGGGTTTTGGAAATTTGTAGTAATATGACCGTGATATGTAAAATTTTTATGAGAAAACATAGTTTACTATAGTTTTTCAGCAGTGACGCTTTTTTGAACATGCACATGTTCGGAGACTTAAACGCGGAGTGGAAAAGTAAATAAGTGCATAAATTGCCACTGTTCGTTATCAGGTAGAAACACAATAGAAAATCATTCTCCTTCATGCAATCTTCCTCAGCGACGGCGATTTAACTGTTGTACCTAGTACATCACTTCCATTATTTTCCTACTATTTCGGCGCGATGGAAATTCTTTTGAGTCTTAGAACTTTGAAAAGCGGGTCAATAAACCTTGTGTTTTTCATTTAATATTCTGAAAGTACCAGGTGAGTAAACCGCGTGGTGATTTATTGCGTATTTTTGGAACCAAAATCTCGGACAAACCCGCTTTTGAAAGTGGCAAAGACTCAAAAGAATTTAAAAAAGAATGCCGTGTGGTCTACTCAGAGACAAGAGACTCTCCATTCTTATCACGGCTATGGTGGAAGCTTTTACTTTCGGGACTTCAACATAAAACTGATGACTTACCTATATGGTTGATGTTTAACAACGTGTTGGCAGTTTTGTTTTGCAAACCATTGCAAATAAGCCGAAGTTTAGGGAATTGGTCTGGCTCATGACGTCACCCGAGGCTCATCATCCACCATGTAGGTGGGTCAACAGCCCTGGACAGGCGATCAAATTCCCGAACCAATTCCGATCAAAGTAGCATCAAAGTGTCGGGAGTCATCAGTCTTAAACTCATTTATTTGCTTCATTTTAAAATGAAAACTTGGCAGAAATGTTTCTTGTGGCAGGAAATGATGAATGGTGGCACTCCATGCTGATTTTACTTTGAACAAATAAGTGCGGCCCGTCAAAATTTGATGGTAGATGGTGACCATCAGTCATCAGCATGTCTATTTTGATCGGAATTGGTTCGGAATTTGATCGTCTATCCAGGGCTAACAGCCGAAAAAAGAGTGATGACTGTTGCTTCCATATAATTGTCCACAAGGAAGTGTTGAATCCCCGAAAGTAAAAACTTCCACCTGTCGCCAAGAGGCTAGTGGAGGGTCTCTAGTCTCTGGATCTACTTGAGCCGCACCAGGGGCGTAGCTAGGAAATTTCTCTGGGGGGGGGGGGGGGCAGACACCCCATCCCCCCAGGACCCCCCTATCTACGCCCATGAGCCGCACAAACTACTTTAGTGCTACTTTAGAATTCTTACTTGAAGGTGGGGCTTTGACCATGAGAACGGCAGTGGACTCGATGGTGGAGATGCCGTTGGAGACCTGGCACTTGTAGTAGCCCCTGTCGTGCGGGTCCAAGTGGTTGATGACGAGTTTCGTGCCGAGGACGGAGGCGCCGAAGTCAACCCTCTTCGGGGGATAGCGCTTGACGGTGATGCGCCCTCGCTGCTCCTCGATGGGGACCTCGTTCTTGAACCACTGGTGCTTGTTCGGAGCCGGTTCCCCGCCCACCTCACACCTCAGCTTCACGTTGCTCCCGGCCTCCCGCGTCAAGTTGCTCAGCGATCGGTGGAATTTCAGCACGCCTGCGGAGAAAAATTTCAAGGAAATTAGAGCCCAAACTTACACTAACAAATGGAGAGAAAAAAAAACAAAAAAAAACTAAGAAGTGGCCCGAAACCTGAATGTAACAAGGTGGAGAAATGGTGCTGGGTCCACACCATTTCCAGGGGAAATCAAAGCCAAGAAGTTCCAAAAATTAAAATTAGAGTTAAAAATAATTTTTTGAACTCTAATGCGCACCAGCACGAAACTGAGGAGGGAGAGTGTGATCTACTGATGAGGTCTAAAAAGGCCCAAACCGATATAGATCTCTCGACGTGACTCCAACTTAATATTCCATTGCAAACTGCCTGAGCTGAACACTCTCCCTCCTCAGTTTCGTACTGGTGCGCATTAGAGTTCAAAAAATTATTTTTAACTCTAATTTGAATTTTTGGTACTTCTTGGTTTTGATTTCCCCAGGAAATGGTGTGGACCCAGCACCATTTCTCCACCTTCTTACACTAACACTGATGGACCACTAGACAAGGTACGAATTTTAGCATTCTGATACCTCAATGTATCTTAACCAGAATTTCACGTAAACATGATTCGCGCAACGAAAATTACTGAAACCAACTCCTAACAGAGATATTAACATTTTTATTTCACATTGGTTACGAGGAATTTGAACTGCCCGCTCACAAGAAACTCTTAAAGCTCTACGTGAGTCAAATCGCGCACTACAACGGTTTCAGCAACCTTCTCAATCGAGCAATGTTCATTTCCCACCATGTGTTGTTCAAACTATAAGCAATTTGCTACAGCTGAGCCAAAGCGTCAAGATTGAGGTTGCCAGATTTATATATCTCAGAGACTGTCATGATAACGTTTAGCGCACGATGTGAATCACGCAGAGCATTGAGTTTTCATGAGCGGGTGGTTTGAATTCACGCATCAAGAATTATTGAATATCTTCGTAAGGATGTGATTTCGGTAATTTTCGTTGTGCGCATCGTGTTTTACGTGAAATGTTGATTGAGAAATATGTATCAAAATGCTGAAATTTGCACCTTGTCTAGTGGTACATTAATTAACTTTAATACTTTTTTACTTTTTTTTGCGGAATTTACTTACATTTACACACACTTTTTTTTTTTTTAAACTTTACAACATTGTGAAGTTTTTAGTCGCACAAATACCTCCCATTGTCTCTTGTTCAATCTGATGTACACAAAGCTGTGGTTTGCACTCTTTGTGAGTCTCCTTCATTACTCAGTCCATACGTACCGATTATAGATATTGAAATTAGCTCCAGGCTATTTACGAGTTGGCAGCGCTATTTTTCTTTCGTTTGAATCTATTGGAAATATCGATTTCAGGTGAGGCAAGGCAAGTTGCTCCACCAAGAATCGATTGTTTTACATACATTTAAATGGAGGGAAAACAGTGCTGCCAACTTTCAAGAATCGACACTAACATGGGCGGAACTAGGAACTTTTTCGGGGGGGGGGGCGAAGGGGCACCACATTGTGAAGAGGGGAGAGAGTCTGAGTCCCTTTAGGTTTAAAGGGGGTGGATAAAAGGGACTTTCTTAGCTTCAAATGGTGGGTTTGAGGAGACTTCCTAACAAATTTGAGTCGTCTCTATCAGGGAGAAATTTGAGCCGTTCCTTCCAAAAATTGATGAAAATACGATTTTTCAAAGATAAAGGATATGCCACGCACTCATTTGCTTATGTTTCTCACATTTTATGGAAGGGACCAAGTAGATTTCGGGGGGGGGGGGGG